TAGAGCTACTGTTGATCCCCACATTTACACCTTACCATGCAACTGTTAGTCCTCGCAGTTGCACTTTGCCGGACAAACGGTTGATCCACTCAAATACTCCAATCCGATGAACTTTTTGTCCCCAGTTAAAACATTGTTTTTTGTTTATTTTCCGCCAGGCATAATACTTTTTCGCCTGTTTTTCTGCGCAGTGAGCAACAAATTCTGCAGAAAAGAACACGCGAAAAAGTAGTTAGCCACGTATGTGTAATTGCTTTCACAGTCACGGCAACAACGAAAGACAAAAGTGAGATATCGAAATATTTTATTTTTCCACATACACATGAAGTTTCCCCATTGTTTTATGTGAATTCATGGTTAAGTGTACAAGTCCAGTCTCTATGTCAAATCTTGTTCACTGCTTGGGAGCTCCTCCGACGGAAGCGATAGATGACAGGCATTGCAGACGCCAGCGCACGCAGCCTTCTGCCTGTTGTGTTGCCACAGCTGCACGTACAATAATATAGTAAAAATAGTTAGGCACACGTGACAGAAGATGAAGATGCACGCATATGACAAGTACGTGCAGGATAATATAAAAACAAGCTTTGAAATATGACACTCAAACAACTTTACGTTCCCATCTCGCACAGTCCTTCTGAAGCTGCTCTGACGAAAGAGATGGATGACGGGCATCGCAGACGCCAGCGCACAGTCTTCAGCACGGTGTGTGCCCACGGCTGCACAATAAGTATGTAAAATAGTGAGTCACGCGCGACAGAGGATGAATACAAATGCATATGAGAAATACGTGCAAGGTGAAATGAAAACTTATGTGAGATATGACATGGTAATAATTTCACCGTGATGTCACGCAACGTCAAAGACTCATTTTGATCCCCGTAGCGCAACAGCTAAGGAGCAGCGGTCGCAGTCACAACTCCGCGAACCACCATGCCGCCAACAAGTCGGCGAGTCCTAAGCGAGCGACGTCGCTCAGCTCGAGTAAGTGAACGCGAGACCAAACACGGCGCTGCACGCGGAGTGTCTGCCGCCAGCAAACTTCGAACGGGAGGGCCAGCGTACGCTTGGCCGCCACCGCGAACAGAGCCGAGCTAGTAGGAGCTAGCGCCGAAGAAATTGACGGTAATGCGGCCCTTTCCCACAAACTCGAGCGAGTGCAGCGCGCAAACGCGAGTCTGCCACGGCGGCCAGAGCACGGTGCCGAGCTTCTTGCGACCGACTGGCGGGAAAGCCGACTGTAATGGCGACCAATTTTCAGTGAATTCAGACGCTAGCGAAAGACCCGCCAGCCCGTGCTGGTGCACTTACAGCGTGCGACATACAACAAAGCTCTTTACGAGAACCCGTAACGTGTTTTCGACGACTCCCAACACAGTGACGAGTTATCAGCCCAAAATCATCAGCCCGAAGCTTATCGCAGCGGCGAAGACAGACGAGCACTCGATGAGCGAGCGTACGGGAGGCTGACGGCAATGGCGGCCAACTTCCGGGTGGTCGCAAAGCACAGGTGAACTACAGACGCTGAAGCTGACCCTCGCGATGCATTTCGTGCGTGCGATATACAACACGACCGAGCCCGTTGCCGGCAAGCGTGATCCGTATCGCACACGCAACAAGTAGAGTAGAATAAAGAATGATAACCTACTTGCTTTAGAATCCAGCGCTGTTTTCTACCCGGAGTCGGACTGAAGTATATATTCGATAGGCATGTTCTTCTCGGCCGCCATATTGGCCTTCCCAACTGTTGCTGTCGTGTGTTCGTCGTGACTATCTTGAAGACAGGATATACAGCACGGCGTGGTGACGTGTCGAGACTTGCTTCAGACTTCATGGGTGCAGCGAAACGCAAAAGCAGCAGCCCACGCTCATCCAAGCGTACACACAAGCACCACGTCGTAATTCTTGGACCATCGAATCGAGGCGGCCGTGGTCGAGCACTCCGAGCGCGATGCACCGCGGACCGTCGCCGCCAAATACGGGAAAAGGCTTAGCCAGCAGAGCAGGAGAGGGAGGCGTGGTCACCTTGGCAACGCTTTTCGCGCTGCCTGCAATGCCCGGGTGGTTCATCCCTTCGTTTCGCGCTCCACGCTTCCCTCTGTGGTTGCTCCTCAACGATCTAACTGTTAATCGCGCACGCCGATTGGGCTCCGTTACTCCTTTTCGGGTAATTTTGCCTTAGAGCGTAAACCAGTATGCCCTTGCACAACCGATAGTTTGCAGTAGGGTATTAGAACAGTGTTCTTTATGCAACTGAGATGAACTGGCTTCATGGTTGCGTCAAATGTTTTCTCGCTTTCAGGGGAACAGGCAGCAGGGACACAATTTTCAGACAATGGCGGCACATGTTGTATCCATAGACACGCAAAAGGGACTCTCATGACAGGGCGGGTTTTCCATAAACACAACTGGGACATCGGTATTTAGTGCAGTTTGTCCTGTGCGACAATCGACAATGGCACCACATAGCTTCAGAGCAACGAGTCCTAGAATAACATCATGCGTAATATGAGGGAGAACAGCAAACTCTGCAGCTAATTTCTGGCACGCCATACTAACAGTCCCAATGCAGACATTAACAGGTTGTAAGACATCTCCGCTCACTTCATGAAACATAACACGACTATCCCAACGAAACATAATTTTTCTTTCGAGGAGGTGCGTGAAAACAAAACTCATCACTGACACGGTTTCACCTGTGTCCACCAACGCCATTGTTGGTACACCGTCAATAAGTAGACGAACCTGATTTTTAAACATGGAAGCTAAAGGAGGTATTTCTGTTGAAATTGAAGACGTTTCAGCGACCTCACCTCCAACGGCCACGCCGACTAGTTTTCCTTAGGAGGCGAGGGGTGACGGCGCCGAGGAGACGGCGATTGGGTGACGTGAGGGGCAGGCGGTGGCGTCACACTGCGATCTGAGGTCGGGGAATGGTTTCGTAGCGGTCCTGAAATCTCGTAAGACGCGCTTCTTGGGAATGCCGGTGCTCGTGTACCACCGAAACGGTTAAAGCTCGGCGATCAGTCGTACCGCGGCAGCTGCCGGTAGATGCAATACCTGGCAATATGGCCTTCGAAGCCACAGTCATAGCAGACTGGTAGGGGACGCTCGCCGAACCAATGCTGAGACCACTTAGTTGTGAAGAATCGGTGACGAGCTCGCTCAGCGGGGGCTGCCCTGCCTCTGTGTTACGGAGCCGTGACGAAGGCGTTGGCGATATCACTGGTCGGACGCGAATGAGTCATGACGTGGTCACGGAGTTCTAGTTTCGTGGATGTGTGTCACACATACTGATGGCGGCAAAAGAGCTAATGGCGCCGTGTAGTAAGGTGGAGTGCCAGGCAGATGAGGAATGGTGTCGTCAACCCAAGAATTTTGTCGCCGCAGCTCTTCACGCACTGTTGCCCGAATAGTAGCGGCAAGGTCGGCGGGTGGTCTCACATCGACGCTGGTGACCATGGACACACATTTGACAGCCTACCAACTTTGAGGGCAATGCGACCAGTCTTCAGTTTTTTAAACGTACGGCAGTGATCTTGGACATCGGAGACAGAGGTGAGGTAGTCCATACCTATCAGAAAATTGTAAACGTCTTCTACTAAAACTTTCAAGAGGTGTCCGACCCTGTCGTCTTTAGACATCTGCAGGTTAAAAGCTTGCAAAGCCTAAGAACGTCTCTATACGTAGTTCACGTTTCTCCCGGAGTCAGAGCTCTTTAAGCGAGAGTCCGCTCGGCACTTTTCTATTTTGAGTCGGAGTCACCAAAACACTTCTTCAGTTCTTGAGCAAAAAGAGCCCATGTTGTCAAGGACTCTTCGTGGTTTTTGTACCACATGAAGGCGGTATACATGAGAAACAACACGCCGTTATTCAGTTGATCGATAGTGTTCCAGTAGTTGTAACGGCTCACCCTCTTTCAATACGTTAGCCACGCGTCCACATATTCTCCTGCCATTCCTGCAAACGGGCGGGGTTCTATGTAGTGATGCCTAAGTATAGCCAGCATAGACCTGCGCGCGGTTGAGGCGGCTGATTCTGGACCTTCGCTTTGGGCCATAACTACTGTTGTCGGTGGCAGACCGGCAAGACGACGGCTCCGGTGAACTTCGAAGAGCTGTACGTGGCTTTGTGGTACGATGACATGCCGTACCCAGCACCTCCAATCCTCAGTTCCGTCTGCAAGAGGCGATTATTTAGAGGCGACGTAATGGTCTAATTGAAGGTATACAGTGAATACACACGGCAGACCTTTTGCCAAAAGCCGAACGTCCTCTGGTTCTGCCACCACCCTGTTGCCAGCAACACAGATACACATACCTAAGTACGTATATGGTAACAATAGCTTTTGCAATATATACGCTTAGCATCCAATTATATCATTTTATACCAGGTAAATTTTTTACCAGTACCAAAATTGTGAAATGTTCGCGCAACAGTTAACGTCATTGTCATAATTGTTGTGAGCTGCGCATTTCAAGAACATACGTGAATAAGGACGGTTAACAAAAACACCAGCACGAGCCGAGGTAAGAGTGCATTTGTCATATTCACTAGCCTTTTACCATCATTTTCTTTGGGTCTCCAGTCCATTTTGTCTGCATAAGGTAGTGAGAGTGTTTAAATCTTTCTACTTGATATGATTTTGTTAGCGAGCAGTGACTTCGTTACAGAAACCGCGAAGGGAAAATGTGGCCTCTGAAAAGTGTTTCTCTAATCGTTCTGCACAAGTGATACGAGTCATTCATGAAAAAAAAGCAGTAGCTTTGCACAATCGTTACAGCCGTGGAAGCCCAAGTTCATGTAAAATAAACATACAAAGTTACACGAGCTTCATTTCGTGTATGTGGCAGGCTAAAATGACAGTTGGGTTGTCCGGTTTATAATCCCATGACATATTATATATATATATATATATATATATATATATATATATATATATATATATATATATATATATATATATTAGCAGGTGTTGATATAGATACAGTGACTTAATACGTCAGTGCTTCTTCCAGAAATTATGGAGCGGTCCATTCATTATTGTCACTTCAATTTATTTTTGTGTAATAGTGCCGTTTTGTACACTACCCGGTTGATGTAATTGATGTTTTGGAAAATGTCTGGGCCTAATATCCCGACAACTGTAGCTTGTCACACTGATCTTCTTCTTCCAGGGTACAATATAAATGATCGTGGAGCATACTGCGTTTTCCTGTGAAAGGAAATTGAAAACACTTAAGGTTATATCTAATAGCCCAGTCGACTTTTTGAAACTGCAAAATTGATGTTTTTGGAAGGAAATCAACACTATCACGTTGTTTTAGAATTCTCACTATTGCAGAGATTCGAACCTGCGCTATTGAGTCGTCTCGCATACGTGAACTTGGCGCGTTAGCTTGCTATTGCAGAGAACTTATAATTAATCTTTACACCCCCGCTTTCACCATATAAGTTATATCTAACCCTTCAGCAGGCGTGAACTAGAATTATCGTTTTTACCGTATATTTGCTGCCATACATAACCTAGAATAACCGACAATCAGCAGAATATAAGAGTTCTTTAGATATATCCAATGAAGGGCTGTTGAAAAAATTCTAGATAAATATTTTTGTCTTTAATTAGGCAGAGAGATCAGGCAAAGTCAAAATCGCTCGATTGTAGAAAAAGGTTTGCCTATAAACCCTGTTCCTGTAGTAAGGCTTTTTTCAAGAAGGATCGTTTTCGATCTTCGCTGCGTGATAACTGTAAATGTTTGTAGACATGTGTTCAGTCCCCCCCCCCCCTCCAATATTAGTATCAATATGCTGCCCATGGTGCAACTGTCATCACGACTACACGCTGACACCGAGATAGAAAACTATTAGATTCCTACATGCTGTCCCGACTACTAGTATTTCCAAACAAGATTCACGTTTGCCAGTGTTCTAGCAGATACAAAATTAGGCCCCTTCAACCACTGCCACCGAGTTACGATTCCGATTGATGCAAGCGTATACTTTCAATTCTCTAACCAATTACAACCTCGAAAACAATGTTGGCAATAGCAAAATATTCAACTATCAGCCCTGTTTGCGAATTTTAAGTACGTTTCTAAAAAACGTATCTTTAAAATTGTTTGACCAGTTAGGTAGTGACATCCCCAACCGGAAGACTAAGATTATCAAAAATTTTACGAGCCAGCCTACATTGTTATTCACATTGAGTTTGCACGGCGATGAGCAGAAGAAATTAAACCTGATATACAGTTTAGCAAAAAATTAGTCGGGGCCATGTGGTGTGACAGCATATGTTCTTTCCTTGAAAGCGTCAGTAAACGGTCTGCAAGACACAGACATTGTAATGGCGTAAAACAAATGAAATACTGGTTTTTTATACTGCGTTCGACAATAAATATTGTGGTGTGAAGGTATACCTGCGAATATTCACTAATTTTGTAACTTCAAGCAATGTGGCTATTTTATCAATCTTTAATGGAAAGGAAAAAATGCATCGGGGAATCGACAACTAAAGGCTCAGTGCCAGTACATCGCCGGTAGCGATGAACGCCAGTTATGCTGTGATTGTGGCTTATGCTGTGGTTATGTGATTGCATATTGAATGTAGTTTAGTTACATCAATATGTAACTAGGTCTTAAGCAAAGAGTGGACATACAGAGCAATATACAGCAAAAACATAATTAGTATCACACAACATAGTGACAGTGGTAAGAATTGTGACGACCCACATGGAAAACATATTATAAAATGCAAAAAAGCATACAGTTTAGCAGTATTGTAGCAATTTGCGAAAACAACAAAAAACATTACAGCAAATGGCATAGTTTTGCTGATTGAAACCTTCTGATACAAAAGAAAGCATTGCGTATCTCTGCGGTGTATATTCTACAATAAGAAAAAAGAGACTTCGTTAATGGCTGCTGTTGATGGTTTCGTTGGTTAATATCAATTTGTTAATAACTTTGTTATGCTTAGGGCAAAAAATCGCCAACGCGAAATGAGGAAAGTCACTTTTTTTCTGTGTTTCATGCAGCTAAGCCACGAAAATATATCTTGATGTTATGCATTCTGTCGTCATTGCTGTAAGTCGATTGCGCTTTTTTCCGACCCTACAAAGTTGTAGAACGATATAATTGAGTATTCTGCTGGTTGCACCAGAAATAAATAATCCATTTCTCTTAATTTCTGGTCATAGTTTACTTCATGATTCAATACTTCGGAGCATTTCCACTTTGTAGTAGAAGAATACCACCACTAGGGTAAAAAATACTAGCCTATATTATGGTGAAATAGAAACTTTATACTTTTCTACGCATAGAATTGTAAAGCATGACTTTTTCAAGCAATGTAGGTAGGGGCGCTCGACCTAGTTCTAGAAGATTCTTATTGATGAAGCGTTTTAATAGATAAATCAATTATGTTACTACCAAAAACAAAAAAGTGGGACTCCTCGTGTGAAAATAAGTTTATACGCAAGCATACCGCACTTTATATATAAGGCTTCAATGAATATCACAGCAGTAGCTGTGCTGAAGCTCTTACTTAGTTTGATTTACGAGTTAAATAAAAAGTGTAATGTCATGTTCACTCTGAAAAAAATTCAAGATTTTCTTCTCATCCCCTTTTCGAAGCTTTTTACAACCAATTTCATGAATGCTGCTTCGAAAAACAAACCAACGCATTCACTCTACAGAAATTCCATTAGAAGACAGACAAGGCCGTGAGAAATAGTTCTTGTTTTCTGGCTTCAGTTCAAGAAAATTTATGTAACTCCCTACTTTGATACGTTTAAATGTGCCTATACGAAGTCAATATTACTCTGCCACATTTGTAGGCCGTCATCTTTCGAAGGTTGATACTAGTCACCCTTAGGGTGTACTCTATTTGCGTTACGGTTGCTCGAACAGGTCACTAGTTTGTGCTTTGCATTCCTTGATGAGGCAGAATAGGTTTGTAAATTCCCCAATTAAATAATTCTTGCGGATTCATTACAGTCAGTGAAAACTTCAAGGCACGAAAATTCTCGATTTGCTCTTTTGTGTGTTAATGGCGTGAGCCTGTTAACGTTATTTTATAGCTAATACTATTGCTATGTGCGAAGGCCTAGGTGTTTGGAGCGTTTACATTCACTAAAAAGTATATAAAATACGTATTTAAACGTGAAACTAGCATCCGCCACTTTGAAGAACGCAGTACCAGAAAACGTCACATGAGTTTTACAGTATTTGTTACAAATAAAGGTGCTCTGTTGGTGGTAATTTAACTGGTCAGGAATGGGAGCTCATGATTAACGGCTTTCACGGCGGTCAAATACACGTGTTAACACGAGAACGAACCACTCTGCCAGTTTAGAACACCGTCAATAGTTTTCATCAGCGTTTAGTTCACAGTTTATACCTTTTGCATCCTGTCTCCAGCTGCTTGCGTACATTACCACACTGCTTCTTTTATACTGAAAAAGGACGTCCAAGCGCTCTTGCCTACTGCGTGTTTGGTGGCACAAAAGCGACCAACCTCTTATCTCGGTTCTTTGACTACACCACAAATCCCAATTACCATTCACTTATCACGAGTGTAACCATCTGGCATCATGCGTTTACATAAAAAAAAGTGGAATGCAAAAGTGTGTTATAGATGCGTTAGTAATTGTCTTTCTCTGCAACAGTGCTGTGTCCAAATGAACTGAACATATACATTTTGTAATATTTGAACAGAATATGACGTCTTCTTTGTAAAAAAGAAATCCTTCATTTTCATTCCATAATAACAGGTATGCGTAAGATTTCTGCCAAACCTCTACATTCAGCCCGGACCTTGTTTGATGTTCCCTCGCATTACAGTTGCCCGACAAACTCCAAGCGAAGAAGCGTAGATTGCAGAGGCTTTGCTATTCACTAACACCACAGGTGCTGAATTAAAATAAAAAAAACAGTAAAATAATTCATAGCACGAACTCTCTATTTGAAATTATCATTCTGATTTTGCTTGTTGTGCCTTGAAATATACTTCAGCATGAATGCATACCTCACTAACCGGCCTGCACACATGGGGTGAGTATTCAACTCTTCCAATGACGCAGTTTGTTCTAGCAGTTGTGAATATCAGCCGATAGTTCAATCCAGCCACCACCTGCATAACGAACAAGCGTGCAAAATGAGTGAAATGCACATCCGATCTGTGGGAAAAATTGCTGGGTATTTACGGCCACAACGCAGAATGGAGACAATTGGCACTCAATACAATTGTGCTAACGTGACCACGTTCAAGCAGCCATTTCGCAGAAAATCCCGCGTCGTCGTCGGTTCATTGGTCACGAGCAGAAATATGAGATAGATTTGAGTAAATAATAAATACAAATTCAGCTCAAGTCGAAATCGTGCCCAAGAATCCTGCGGAGCATGCACCTGCTCTGACAAACAGATACAACAACGCTCAAACAGCCTAAAAAAAGCCATGAATGTTACACAGTGGCTTCAGTGCTAATAACACCTTTGATTTTGCGTTACACAATGGTATAATTATTACAAGCGCCCAAACATATGAATTTCTCGACGACTTTAATTTAAAGGCCAACGAAAGAAAAAGCACGCAGGTATATTTAGTATAACTATAGACAACCGCAACAACGCATAACGCTGCGCTATTGCGTGTGTCACTTGACACGTGGTGGGTGCCTCGCTAACTCGCCAACAAAAGAATAATTGCCAAGTTAGCATTTGGCAAGTATACTTGCAGAAGCAATTGTAGTATAGTTTTTAATGGCTGATTCGCAGACGTACAGTGATTGCTTTTCTTGCTGTATGATGTATATGTCCGCCAGGAAGCGTAGCGAGGCTATCAATTTAAAATGTGGTGTGAACATGGTTTGAGGACAATATTATGCTATACTCTTGAAGGCAAGACACAAGCGTCTTCCAAGTCTTTTTAGTTTTCTGGAATAACTGCAGTCACTTCAGGATCGCTAGGGCTCTTTGATAACCTTGGAAATTGCTGAGAGATTGTTGTAGGTATCTTCATTGCATTCATGGCTGTTGTACCACGAATGATGCATTGAAAAATAATGCTGCGGTTCTTATAACGCAGCAGACGCCTTCCGTTTTTGTAGTAACCAAATCTACGCTTTAAGTCGCGTATAATGCAAATTATTTTGTAAGGTTATCTCAAATACAAAATGAAAACAATCGTAAAGAAAAAATGCAGATAATGCGTTGTTCATTGTTGTCCCGCTTAATTATTTGTTCTTGCCTGTACTTTTTGTATGTTCGCATTGTATAATAAGCCAAGCCTATACACCTGATCGTCATGCTTGTAAATCAAAGGCAGAAAATTTATGGTGGCCTTCATATGTTAAGGCGTATTCCCTTGTGCAACCAGACGAAACTCCTCACAAGCTCTTTCACTCTTCCGATGACATTCTTCTTCTCGGTGTCCTCAGCTTTTTGTCACACAAAATGAGCTTCACTAAATGTGGCATCAAGACAAGGGACTATTGCATGTCTACACACAAAATATTTGATGTTCAGTTTCACAGAATACAAATTTTTGTTGCCAATAACTATTATAACCTACGAGTAATTATATTAGTTCTTCATTTCATTCTTTTACGATGCTGCCCAAGGGCTGTGGGTTATGTACGTCTCCATCGTATTCAATCCTGTTTTCGGGTTGGTTCTGACTTCGAAAGGCTAATATCGAACACAATCTTAGTGGTTAGCTGACAGGCACCTATTTTAGCTGATACATTCATGTTTTCATTATCCTTGCATGCACTGTGATTCTTGATCCCATTTTCATCATTTAACCACCTGTCACGTAGCGCTATCAAAAAACAATATACAAGTATACGTTGAGTACATACAGCAAATAGAACTGTTTCAAGGATGGCAATTGCAATGTGCACTAGTTATAATAAAATCTCGTACTCTGCTGCAACTTGCGAAAAATATAAAAAGAAACTAGATATGACAAATAATGTTTCTTGCAAAGCTTTCAAACGGTGGTACATTGTCAACATGTTCCAGTTTCACAATACACATAAGTATTTTGAATGAGCTTGACCCCGTTTTATCATCAAGATCTCAGACAAGCATATCTAATATTCAATGACATACAATTGCGCTAGCATATAATTATGCATGCAAGCATACCTGAGTCGATACCTCAAGTAGACGAACGACTGTGTTATAGTTCTTCAAGCCATGTGTTTGCGAAGAGGCAACGTAGTGAGCAAGCTGAAGATATCCTGCGTTGTGATGAGGGTCTTGTTTCCTCCAGCCTCCTACCAACGCTGAATTTGCGTAGCTGCTCAGTAACAATAAGGTAGTCAGCGCATGACTGGCCAAGGTACAATGGGCCATTTCAACAGCTTTCATTCTTGGGAGTGATCTTAGAGGACACTAATATACTGTGTTTATAAACCATCCGCTCAATACTTCTGCATTACGATCCGATCACGTATAGAGCTTCTTACAGAAAACACATAACTAAAGTGAGTTTTGTAAGTTGGTACACCTGTTCATGTAAGATGTATCGGACAAAGATGTAGCCACTTGTTAGGTGTATTCATGCTTTCGGCGTGCGACGCAGCTGTGCGCAAACAATAGGCCACAGGTGGCGGTCACGCCTGGATTATGTTGAGGGACCTTTTCTTGAAAGTATCGAGTATATCATCGGACCTCGTGAAAGAGCGTCCGGGTGCTCTCTTGCCCTCTGTATCTAGTGGCACGGGAGCGATAAATGGTCACACTACTTTAAAAATTAGTGTTCAAGATTGAGTCCCATTTTCTTTTATAATGAGACAGTAATAGAGAATAAATACGAAAATGGATACTCAAAGTAGGCTAATGTCACTCGTGAATAACTTTTATGTAATAGTGAAAGGCGACGATGTGCCAAGTGCGGTTCTAGAAAGTCACTGGCCGCCCAACTGACAACTTTTTGACACCTGTACTTTTTTGCTACGATACACGGTGGTTTTTTATCTTGTTTTCTTTCAAAACAATGTCTCCGCTGAAGGGGAGTTCAATACTTCCAAGCTATTGCAATCAATAAATGACTTGCACTGCGAAAGGAAACAAAAAATCAGCGATGATCACGACATTACCTATGGCAAATTGAGGCCAAGCATCGTGCAGAGGTAAAGCCAATTGTGTTTGAAGTTTTCGCTTTGCCTATGGTATTGACCAGGCTTTGAGTCATACTTATTATTAAGTAGGGCGCCACCAATTACGCCATTAAACGTATTTCTTGAGGTACCCCATACACGTGTGTAAGATGGTATGTACATCTTATGCATATTGCTTACGAATATTGGCGATTAATTATTATGACTTAGCACCTTGCAGGGGTTGGAAAGTAATAAACAGCCCACAACTTGAACAGTTAGCAGTGTGTGGTGCTTGGTTGTTATTTCAGTTTTCTCTCACGATATGATACATAGGCTCGGATGGTCCTTGGCACAACAGGATGTCTGTATAGGATCTGTTTGTAAATGATTTTCAAGTACCAGGGTGACTGTGGTTGAATAGTAGACTGCCGCGAAGAGGTGCAGCATCGCAATCCCATTTGATCATGTCTATTGGTTACAGCACCGACGTCGAGGGCGACGCCATTCAACGCAGCAACGGGCGCCCAAACCTGCGCTCTAAAATGAGTGTAAGTGTCTAACACCCATCGAACACAGTGAAAAGCGTGCTGGTTTTTATGTGCAGTGGCAACGGTACACTTTCGCCAACCGCCATACAAACTGGAGAAATTAGTAACTTAGTATACAAGTAGCACGTGATGCTCTAATAGCACAATGAGCACTATAAAAAAATTGGTAAACAACCATTGGGGGTGTGCTGCTGCCAACGTTTTGACAAGCGTAACGCAAATGAAAGCAACTCTATCTCTTGAACCACTCACACTGCGCAGGAAGATATCGCGCATGTGCCTTTTCTTTAAAATCTATCAATTGAGCGCCACCCTTAAAACTGCTCTTATCTTACCCCCTGCTCATGTTTCATTGCGCATAGATCATTTTTGCAAAGTTGGTATCCCGAAATGTCGCACTGTAGCATATTCAAATTCGTTTATTCCTAGAACTACATCAGAGTGGAATCGCCTGCCACCATCCCCAGTGCTTACTAACAATATGGACCAGTTTAGGAAAAAAGTGTCTGATTACTTCACTTCTGTGTAGCTTGAACTTTTTTTCCACAGTGTTTATTTACCTTATAATGTGTCATATGCGTGCAGTTGTCAATGTTAGTTTTGTTATCTTTTTATGCTAGAGGCAATACCTGTGTAGATTTGTGTTAAACTTTTGTATACTTCTACGCACCGCTGGATACTTGTTTGTTCAATGCTTTTGTATATTTGCTCATATGTGTGCAATGTTTGTACAATTCGAACACCTTTCAACATCCTGATCCTGTACCACTCCCCTCAACAATGCCCTCTGGGCCATGAGGGTACCTGAAATAAAATAAAATAAAACGGGCTTGTCCTCCTCAAGGCTGGAACAAGACTGATTTCTCTCTTCTCCATCCCAACAAAAGAACTAGAGAGTGCAACCGAAGTGTGAGTTTGTGAGAGGAGGGCCCAGTGACGCATCGTGTGAATGAAGAGGAGGCAGGTGTGCTGTGCATAAAAAAAAAGGATGAAGTGGTGGGAAGGGGGTGTAGACATTTCGCTGAATCACGATTGTTAGAAGGACCACGTAAAAATAGTAGGTCTGAAATTCCTAAAAGGAGGGCTCAGCTCTCATTGGTTTTCTTTGTCTATGTTTCATATGGAATTTATCCCAGAGCCGCTTTAGAAAATTTTATACATGCTGGCTTGAGAGAATGGAACTTATGACTATGGTATGGTTCTGCGTATTTTCCGTTTCATGCGGAACGCATGTTTCACTGGATATGCAGAGTTTGAGGTCAACGAAGTTGTCTCCCACTACATTAAAATACTGTATCACTGCCTTTGCTAATTTCTTGCTGTGTCTACACAATGGCCATGTCATATCAAATCAGCAGGCTGGCCCGTTTTACCAATGAAACAATTGTGACAGTATGAATATTCGAACATGCTACTCTAATAGCATCACGTCGGCTAGATAGATGTGTAATAAGGGTGAGTTTGGTGAAAGAGTAGAACAAAACAAAACTTTTTATGACTCGGATGAAAAAGCGCGTTCATATTCGGCCAACGTTCCATTAGGCACACCATGCATGAACCCTCCTCTCGTGTCTGCACTTTGTTCTCTTCTTTATTCAGATTCAACAATATTCAACGCCAGACGAAATCTATAGCTAGGCTAACGTAAAAAACGCAACACAGTATTTCCTGCACCACGTGGTCCTGATGTATTTCTTTTCATTAGTCAACGTAATGAATTTTGCCAGCGCGAGAACTAAGAGGTAGTCAAATAACTTTAAAATGCGAAACAGCATGGAATGCCACTATTTCATAGCGCTTTGGCACGGCGTAGCCAGGCTTTTATGGTTTGTGTCATAATGCCATGCTATATGTTGTTTTTTATGAGGGGATGGGTTGAGGGGGGGAGCTTGTAAGTTTGCAATAGATTTTCTCACTTGTAGAGAGGCAAAGAACTAATGAAACACAGGGAAACGTCGGGGTCGTGTAGCGATTCATATATTTCTAAGTCTTGCGTGTAATGCTGCTGGGCCATTGTGAAATATGCTGACGCACGTAGCACAACGACCACAAAATTGCCGTTCACATAGTTAACACTGAACGATTCACAAAACCGTAGATGGCGTCAACGTTTGAGGCAAGCCTGTAGGGCTTCCTCGTGACGAGTGTAGCGTTGTAAAACATATTCGCCAATTCGGTGCGCAACGCGTGCACTACGTTTTGCTGCACCCACTTTTTCTTCTTGTGGTTGATATTCCAGGTTCGTGTCATTTGAAGCCAGTTCCACTCAAAGAGTTTCCTAAAATGACTATGGAGGGCACTCGGGTGCTGCGATTGTTCAGCGACCATGGGAGTGATGGGTAGTACACGGATTTGCCTAGTCTTCCTGCTTGCCAGCGGTGAATCGCACTTGTGGCTTCGTTTATTGCTGTGTTTTGTTGTGTTTAAAAGAAAAGAACGAACCCTTTCGAACGTTGACCTTATTTGAAATGGTAAGCCTAAAATAATAGGGTAGTGAAGCACAACTGCTGAGCATTTACCGATTTTTGTTTCGTGAGAAAACAGCTCCAAGCCACACCACAGACGGAGCCAGAAGTACGAAGATTAGACAAATCGATGTACTACCCATTATTCCCATGCTTGCTGAAGCACCGTACGTTGCAGGTCTCAAAGACACTAGCGCGCGAGTTCTTTCATGTGTATATTTACGAAACTCTATGGTTTTGTCACACTGTTTAGCCTTTCACATGTAGGGATTAGGAGCCGGCATAGTGTTGGTGGGAAAAGCAATTACGAGCTTGGTTATGAGGTTGCGACCTCTCTTGGCGGCACGGGGGTCAGCCTGATGTTCTTTGAAGCGTCCCTGACCAGGTGCTATAAAACTTAATGACACAAAGGGGGTTGTTTTGCGTCTATCATGAGCAGTTTGCTGCAAGAATTGTTTGTTCTGATTGGTGCAATAAAACCTGAGAAGTCCAATATTTTGAAGTAGCGAGAAACCATAATGCGAGAAGGATAGTTTGAAACCCTTATTTGCTCGCCCCTTGTACGTTTTTGCAAGCCAAACATGTGCCAAATCTAATCTATTTCCTGCTCTCTCCAGCACCCCATAGCTCTGCGCTACTGCAGGCTACACATATGTGTTTAGGATTTCTTAAAATGTGCCGAAGCAGCTCTGATTTGAATCAATACTATTTTTTTTTGAAAACGTTAGGGATGACGTCTTATATAGCATCAGTCTACACTTGAAGTATAATAAATCGTAATCCTAGATGTTTTGGTTGTACTAATCATTTTCTCAATAATCACTTCAGCAAGTATGTTCGAGCTAACAACACTGGTCTTTAATTACATATAATGAGCATGACACCAGAGTTTTTCTTTTAGCTTTCCATCAATATTGAAATTCACGCGTTGATCTAGCTAATTTTTTGTGCTGACAGAGCTTGCGGTAATCATTAGGAAACAATGAAATTCGTTCTGAATGTTACGTTCGGCTTTCGCGCTACTCCGCTAGTAAAGTTGTAAAAAAAAAGAAACTCGTCAGGACAGGGTTTGTAGTGCTGACGTTTCGACAAGCGTGACTTTGTATTTTACATGTCTTTAATATTGAACCTTAACCAAGACATTCTCACCCGATGTTTCCAAGCTTTCATATTTCGAAGGTCCTGTCTGTCTCTGAAAACCTGCCTTTTTTGGATCAAAAGTAAAAGAAAGTTTTTCAAAAAGTGCATGGTAATGTTCAAGGTGGGAACATTTTCAAATAAAAAAAAATAAAGCATGAATTCGAGACCCCCCTTTTCAACTCTAAGTTGCTTCACTATTTCACAGCTCATAAATCTACCCATACGTGTTATACACGCCGCACAAGGGTATTTAGAATCCAATCGAAGCGATGGTCTATGTAGTCAAGTGCCAAGAATGAAATTCTACACAGCTCGTTTTGAAGGTTATTTATTGAACCGTCAGTTTAGACAACGGAGCAAGCCTTCACTCGATTTAAACTTCCGTGGTCATTGAGCGGCTGGCTGAAGTGGACACACTGCAAACATACCTTCTCGTTGGCACGTTCATGGTCACGTTTGTGCTCACACAAACGACTAGACGTAAGAATAGTAACCAGTATGAGTATATGTGAGTGATGTGGAATATTTATTCGAGTAATCTAGCTACTTGAAATGTGTGAACTGCACGTATCTTCGATAAGAACCACCTTCTTGCCTTCAGCGTGCTGTCTCTCTGCGGATCACTCACCACTATTTCTCTGTTCAACACGCCAAAAAACAAATTTGCATTGAGAATTGTAAAGAAGCAGTTTATTAATATATTTTAACAATACTAACTCAAACATTTGAATTTTCACGCCAACATACCATTTGGGCTTTATGGTGATATGAATAAGAAAAAAATTTGAAGCACCACACTTTTTCCCGAAAAACGCTTGAACTACCTTACGGCCATTCGAAAATGCCGCGTATCAGTGTGACAACTCCACCGAGTTGATAGAGTTGAGACGTTTCGGCGGCAATGGAGTGAATTAACTTTTAAAAGGGTGCGTTGGACAATGGTATTACGCTGTTTATTTCATAAAATATAACTCTCATTAGCTTCGCTACACCAAGCAAAATGCATTGTATTTGCTGTTCGGGTCAAAGGCAGCATTTGCGTTTATGTGTATTTTTAAATGATCTATATGCTTATTGTCAAATGCCAGAAAGAATAACTGTAGAATTGTCAAGGTGATCTTATAAAGTGTCTATAAGCGTCATCAAATTACCTTGACAAATTAAATGTATAAGAAAATCTTGTTTTGAATTATCCGCATGTGTGTTAACGTGAGGTGCAATTACGAAAGAAGCGGAGAAGCGGGACGACAGGTGACATCACCTATAGACACAAGTCACTTCATTTTATTCACAAGGTACACTTGCGGTATCTTTATGACGCATGATGCGATCCATGAGAGAAGGCACTTTGTAGTCCGCTAGGTATGAATAATTCTGCAAAATAGGAAAAATGCAAGACTTATTAGTGGAGTTTTTTTCTCGATCGACATGTGATTCAGAACATGTTGGTTTGTGAGTGAAAGATGAACACACGCTGTGTCCTGAATACGTATTAGAACGTGTTTTATGTGAGTACGTGTCTATTGAAGATGTAAAGAAAGTTTCTTTAATTGAGTGGGATCAAATAAAGAAGAGCTGTTCAGAATGTCGGGAAAAGTTTCGTTTCTACACATAAGAATTGATACTCGTCTTTACAACGGAATTTAGCGAGTGTGCCTATGAATATTAAACCGCGGCATGCGGCTGATAGTTTACTGTTGGTTGTAATAAAATTGCTTGCTTTATACAGAAAAATTTAGTTACGCTAAATTAGTATAACTACTGTGTATTGCTATAAGCATTTTTTAATAAAGACAGAAGCCTGAGGCAAAGGTTGCTAAAACAACCGAGAAGTTATTCGACCTTTTTGCAGTCACTTAAACAGACCCACCTTCTGCGCAATATGTTCTCTACTGCACTTTTGCTCAACGACAACTTCCCAGCCTGCTGTTAGCGTACTGCTTTCACCACCGCCTTCCGTGAAGAGACAGTTACATCATGATTAGGTTGTTATCGTTTAGTCCTTAATGATCCGACTGGGACGCCCGAATGTGAGCCTGATGGCGTCTATTCTGTCCAACGCGTAGCAACTATTGACGCAGTTAGCCCCATGCCACAGCTTCGAAATGATACTTAGTATGTCTCACGTCTAGCTTTCTCACGGACGCCAAATGACCTGCTGTGATCCGAGGAAGAAGTAACAATGGCATGGTGGAGTACACAGTTTACGCTACTTTGAATACTAAAGGCGGTTTTAGGCAAAACTTCCTTTCTCTTGAGCAAATTTGCAAAATTTAGAGTGTACGAGTGCTCTCCTTCCACAGATAGTCTTTGTTCTAACTCAGACCTTCTTTTAGAGCTCAGGAATTGATTTGTTAGCGAAAAACCCATGGCTGACACTAGAGAGTGCCACAGGATAACTGCGACTCACCGACTAAAAAAGTTTTTTTTTTTCTATTTTAGGCAAGTTTACCTTAAAAGTAGTGTCTCTTATAAGACTGTCTAAGAGGATACAATAAATTTTGCGCCCATTCAAATAATGTTTGGTGTTTATTTATACCAAACAGGAGTATTCCCACCAGCACTGAACGGCGCCTACACATATTGTGGCTATATGTACCAGATTCGACGCGTGGCGTGAGCTTTGAGCATGTTCTGCTGAATATGAGAACTTTCGAAGTATGGCTCAATCTATGAATCATTGATATATACACATGTCTGTGCATCGGTCTTTATGGTATATGCTTAATTAGGTAATAGAGAAAAACAGCGCGCTCATTCTGTCCGTAAAGTACAGTGCTCGTCAGAAGTTCCCATGCCGCTATGGCATGATGCCATGACAGCGTGACCTAAGAAATTTTGAACCCTTTTCTCCTTCACACTAGAATTTACTCTGTTTTGTGCACAGTTTGGCGAGTGCTTGCACCTACATGGACACCATGGGTAATTGTATGTTCTCTAGCAGGTCGATTTTAGTACTTGCAATATATCAGTAATAAAACTGTTCAGGCCATTCAAAACACCCCATAGTAAGGGCGCTAAGCCAGTGGCAACACGCATGCTATGGGTGTCTCTTACGTGAAATCTCCATTGTTCTAGGGCAGGGTCTCAGTTAAAGACATGGCAACATCCTCTGCAGGGTGTAAACTGTTTGAATCTGCAGCCCGGCTGAAACAATGAAACACGCATGATCTTTTCAGAACATGAACGCCCACACCAATGCTTGCGTGCAGGCCTCTGCTGCGGAAGGGTAGCTGAGCAATCACTTTTGACCCCTGCCTCCCAAATAAAGTGATCACCTGGGAATGCGTGGAGAGAGAAAGAAAAACTATTTGCGCACAACGCGAAGCATTGCGAATTATCGGGACCATAATGAAGGGCTGCGCTGGCCCTTGCCGTTTTCACAGAGTTCGTAAAAGTGTTTGCTCCGTGACGTCTAATTTCTAGTGCAAGATTTGCTTCTTTTTTTCTGCTTTCTCTGTATTGTTATAACAGGCTGAGTGCAAACGCGCTAAAACGAGAATTAGTGACCTATACGTTAGAATACGGCAAAAAAATCTCTGCACGTTGCTTTTGATGATGATGATGATGATGATGATGATGATTCTTGGAATATTGGCACCTACGCATTAAGGAGGATATGCCAAGAGTCACCGGATCTTACATGCTGGTTTTGTGATTAATTAATTTATACGATGCTCTTGAGCTAATCCAAAACAATGCTGTTCGTTTCATTTTTCTCAACTACAGTCCTCACTCTAGCATTTCAGCCATGAAGAACTCACTCAAACTGCTGTCTTTTGCCTCTAGTCGTATGCTCTTCTGCCTCTGTCTATTTCACAAAATTTATCATAATATACAAACTCTTCGCGAGGAACTTATTTTTCAGCCTTCTTACGTATCATCTAGAATTGATCATCCTAATAAAGTTGGCGTTATGTCATGTCTAACCAAAACATGCAGCGATTCATTCATTCCCAGAACATCAGTAAACTGAAACCGCCTTCCCGGATCTATGGCCATCTTGACCAATTATCACTTGTTTCGTTCTGCGCTAACTAGCATTGTATACACGCCCACACTTATTTACTTGTTCTGTTTGTACACAGCGCTTATATTTTGTTCTTTATTGTTTGTTTTGATTCATTTTTTACTATTAGCTAACGCTGTATGTATAAAACAATCGTGTTTCACCTCCCTCCATGATGTCTTTGGCCCGGAGGGTAGTACTATATAAATAAATAAATAAATAAATAAATAAATAAATAAATAAATAAATAAATAAATATTTTGTAAGAGGTAAGATAGAGATGAACTTTTAAATGCGAAGCATTTCTTTGCGAACCTCAGCGTCTTTGATCGTATCTATCTGTCTAGCCGCTTACGTTTGGGTGCTCTCGTGGTCACCCCTTTAACTTGACGTGAACCAAAAACTAACGTGGGAGGGTAAGATGGTTCGACGAATATGAGGCGCTAGTCAAGACGTGAATATTGTCACAATGCCGTCCCGTACGTCGTCAAACACTTCCTTCCAAACAATGCCACATACCCAAGGGCTGGTATGTGCCACAGGTGATTGACACTTAGTATTTACCAAGGAACGACGAGAACTCACATAGGCGATTTCTACGCGCAAGCGTTAAGAAATACCCGACATTGGTATCGTTGACCCGATGAAAGCGAAGAATAAATTTCAAGGTTCCAGCTGGAATTGAACCCAAGCATTCTGCGTGGCAATGAAGCATTCTAACACGGAGCCACACCACGTCTCCGAGCTCCTTTTTAACTAGACGCTAATCTTCGTAAAACGTCAGTAGTATTTGCAGTGCTGCCTACCAAATTTTATAAACATTACTTGTGTATCCTTTGATGCAGCCTTCACGTCGGGTTAACGCCAGTGGTGGTTAGTTGCCATGCGCTGAAGTTGATTTATAGCAGTGTCCAAGGCCAGTATCCCCGCGAGAATCAGCGCTTCGTATGAGCTTCCGGTGTTGCTAATATGCATGTTATAGTTGGCATCCATGCACGTGTGGAAACAGCTGCTTATAAAAACAATTGCAGCTCTTCAACATTTGTTTGTGCGAGCAACATTTCTACATGTATTTAGCGTCATCTCCAGATGTGTCACTCATTAAAAAAAATGCCACATAGTCACCTTCCCTCCGCATGCTGCGCATAACGTCGATTTCCAGGTGCTTAGGATCTGCCAATCTTTTAATGTAAAGTTAATTATGAACATTGTAATTTAAAATTGCACTATTTTGTGTAACCTTCCATTTACCGAAGATCTTTTCACTAGGAATACTGAATAAAGAAATATTAGCAAATGATTCACCAACCTCTACGTTATCATAATTTGGTGGACCTTTCAATATTTTTTTCGCCTTTTTTTGATGGCTCATATCAAATGTAGGGGATTTGACGAGTAGCGAACTTTTTTCATTATTTTCGTTTGTACGCTACTAATATAAGCTGAAACTTAATAATATAGTGAATATAGTTTTGGATTATTGTTGATGAGATATTTGAAAGATGAAGAATTTAGCTACATAATATTTTCTACTGAGTGATAAATTCTTAAATAGCGAAAAAAACATCGCTGTGAGTGTAGCCTAGCCGATTGTTATAGCGCGAGAGCATAACGATGATGAAGGGACAAAAGAAGACCCATCGTCTTCATTCTGCTTTTGTGCTATACCAATCGTCATGTCATATCAATTAGCCTACACCACCACGCTTCTAAGTAGCCCAGAGTAGAGGCGCCGGAAGAAGTAACACCAAATTATAACAATTCAAGACCCGGATTTTGAAGATGTGGTACAATGAATGTTTTGCTGAACGACGTGAACGGGCAACAACTTATAAAGTAATGACTGATAGTTTCATTCTCATTACAGAAGAGACACAGAGGAAAAATCACTGGACCTGCTCTAGGCAGGGTAGAATTGCGAGAGGTAACACAGCCGCGAAATTTAGGTATTGCACACTTTCATTCTTTTTGACCTCGATAGACCACTGCGCCAGAGAAACAAGAGATGCTTATCTTTTGGAGACGCTGTCGAAACAGGATCTGATAAGCTTTTTATGATTATTAGTATGCAGAATCTTGCAATTGTGACGTAAGCTGTTAGCAGAAAAACTGAAATGATCGGCGCCGAAGGCGCCGCTTTTGCTAATGAATCAGCGCTTTCAATTAAAAACAAATCTTTGTTGATTGATTGATATGTGGAGTTTAACGTTCCAAAACCACCATATGATTATGAGAGGCGTTTAAGTGGAGGGCTCCGGAAATTGGTGACCGGCAACTACCAGTGTAAAGAGCTTCGGTAACGGCGTTTCACCAGATGCGTAAAGAAAAGAGTACACAGATGAGTCAGTGATCATTAAAAATACTGTAATATAACTGCTTCCCTTTCCTAGAAAAGTAATATGGCCATATATTTCATTAAGAAAACAGGAATAAAATTAGGCAGTCATAATAAAAAAGACCAATGAAATTCAGGGCAATATATTCAATGCCAGATTTTCCATCAGATTGCGATGCGTTCTTCGCAAAAACCCCATTCTTTGACTGATTATTTAGGTGCTTTTGTGACGGTGTATTTAAAATGCCCTAAAGCAATAATTTCGCATGGTACGAAAAAATATAGTGGTAGAGAATGTCTATGAAGTTAGGTTGTGGCGTCCAAAAAAAAGCACATCGCTAATAATTTGATTTATCGAGTCTAGTAGTGTTTGAATCATTATGAGGTGTTTCGTGCAGAATCTGGGCCAGTAGTCAGAGAAAAATAAGTCGGGGTTAGAAATAAAAACCATTTGAGTAAGACTACACAGTGACTTGCACAGCCTTAAGAAAGTCTGCACGGTAAGTATGCGTTGATTTGGCTTAACGAGAGTGGTATTCGCGCTTCCAGGTGTAACAAAGCATTTGCCACTTATTTTGGAAGGCCTAAGCACAGCCGTATAAGGCCTTACGCTCTTATAGGACTAATGGCCGAAGATTGTATGCCTTTTCGTACACTATATGGGCAAGATCTGCTCCGTTACCGTTAACGCATTCTTCGTCTGGCTTGTAATCAATTTCAACAGGCGGTTCAAAATCATAACATTTGCACTAAAAAAAAATTGGCCTCTTTCAATAGTGTCCGCTTCGGCGGATCCAGTAAATATAATGCTCGTATAAATGTTGATTAAGGTTCTCGTAGTCAAGAATATAAAGGGGTCATGACCATCTTGGAAACACATTTCGCGAGCATATAGGAGGAAAGAAGAAGAGGAAAAGAATAAGGACAATTTGTTTTATATATTGTAGTTTATCGAATTCTTCTGCACTTTTTCACGTTTATTCAAAGGAACAATATTTTTGTTCTTATAAAATTTCTCTCTTTTTTTAGCAAGCGTTGTACAAAAAAATATCTATTATAAAGTACAGTGTGGCCAATCCCCCTTGTGGGTATGAGCCAAGATCTCCTAGGGGACAAGGCAAGAAAAGACAAGGCGGTTTGCCAATTCTGAGATGGGTCGGCTATTTGGTGCTGAGGAATAAAAAGAGAATAATTAAAGCCTAAAAAAAGAAGTTAAAAATGGCCGAGACCATCCTCATCATGCAAAACATTGAAAGTGTTCCGATTCTTGTTGGAAGAGGGGGCGAAGTGTCTTCACAGACATACTGTAAGCAGTGTCGTCTTTCACCATCATATACTTTTCTGTTTTTATGGATTATCAGACCAACGCATGTGATTTAGGCGCGTCATTACTAAGTTGAACATGTAAACTAAGTAATAAAGTTATTAGAGAGCGTGTCAATATAAGCAAAAAGACTTACACATGTTCTTGCAGACGAGTTCACACTCCTCCTCGCTTTCGTAATTGTTGTCGTTGCCCCCGCAGCCCCCGTAGACGAATGTCTCGCACTCTCCCGATTGAACATTGTAAAACCAGCGCTCCAGTTGACCAGCGCAAGAGCCGCTGTCGGCCGCCGGCTCACAGCCAGTCTTGAAATCGGCGCTTTCGAAGTCGCTCACTCGCTCCGGAGCTGCATGTACGAAAGTGGCCGTGTTTTAAAGCAAAATCATGATGTATGTTGTTGTGCACGGATAACGACCTAAACACGGCAGCCCAATTAAGTGGTGCGAACACCGAGGTGACCTTACTCAGGGTGAGGGAAGTGCTTTGAGGGACGGATTCTTTTCTGGCATGAGCTTGACGTTACAGACCACCTGAATTATTTGCTTCATAATGATGTCGATCCATGGCTGCTGGACAAAAAAAACGTCATATCTTTGTGGTAGGGCACCTGCTTGCCACCTGAACAGCCCGGGTTGTATCCTCAATGGGACTGAGAATTTTATTCTTTGTTTTGTTTGCTTCTCTCTCAATTTTTTGCTCAAGGACAATCTTTCACAACCAACGATGCCGACACCAATGGCGGAATTTCTGCGACCCGAGCTCTCTAACGCTATCGCGTCAAAAAGCACATCGTGTGGCTAGCCGCTTCGAGCGGCTTTCCGCTATGGTGCGACGAGAGGGAACGGGAGGAATGGGCAAACGGGTGGTGGCGGCTCCCTCTGGGCTGAAGCCACAGAGAATCAGTTGGTTCTTGCAAGTGAACTGCGTGTGCCATTAAACTAAATGGACTAGTTTCTGACGTGTTCTCGTCACCGCAATTCTACTGTTCGTTGTATGCTCTCCACAGGCCGCAAAAATATGACAAATTTTTGCACGAGAAAGCAAAAAACAGAGGATAGGCTGAAGGGGAGCCCGACCACATTCTGATTAAAAATCATCATATGTCTACATCCACATTTTCATGTGTTCGTTGTAAAGTAAGGGCTCAAAAGCTTTGACCAAAACAACAGAAAGCGAGTCTGCGTCTGTCACAAGCATAGAGCGCCTTACTTAAGATCACCTGCAACGTTGAATGAAGGATACGGTACGATGGATATAAGCAGATACTTTGAGAAACATCACTATCACCAAGGAATTACGGTCCCCAACAGCTAATAATCTGTAATCTCTAGAGTTGTCGACTAAGCAGCAATACAACCAAGCGAGTCTTGAGATGTTTGCGCTGCACTATCAACCACCTATTCAGAAAGAACTTACCTCCGCACGCCTTTTGACACTCCTCTATGGTCTCGAAGTTGTTCTCGTTGCCTCCACAGCCTCCATAGGAAAACATGGTACATTTTCCGGTTTCAGTGTTGAAGTAGAAGCGAGGTATGAGGGCCTTGCAGATGCCTTCATCTGCCGGCAGTCGGCAGAATCCATTTCTCTGCGCTGTGTAGGAAGGCCACTTTTTGCAAACAGAACGATATTCAAGAGAAAATGCAAGCAGTAGCAATTTTTTCGCAATAAGTCAGAAAAGTTAATAACGCTTCAAGGGAATTATGAAGGAAGATATAAACTGCTTCAAAATCTCTGTACTTGAAGGAACAGATGAAAAATTTGTAGTGACTGCAACGAAAGTTTCAAAACTTCTACGAAGAAAATTTATTTGGTTAAAAATGTAGCTTTGGGACAAAATATATAAAATGAGCGGAAAGTTCGAGAGTTCCCGCGATGTAAGAAACTGAAAACTTTCAAGTTCCCATCTACAACATCTTTTCGGCTGGCTGATGCAGAGTGACAAGAAACTGCAACTTCTTTGTACTGCACTGTCTTTGTAGAGCTGAAAGGTGGACGAGTTGGAACTTGTCCATAATTTGGCAGCGCACAAAAGGAAACCAAACACCAGTACTTGTCCTGATTCCTCCTCCTCTGTAGTTCCTTTTGTGCGCTTCGAAAGATAGCCTGTCTTTTTATAGGCCGCAAACGTTTAAAAGTACTTTTTCATGAATACAATATCACTCTTTCCAGATAGTAATGACAAGTTCTGAACCGTAATGCTTCCGTTCTATAATATTTTCTAAATTGATCAATCCATTCTTATGGGGGTTTTGGTTGATTTGGAAGACGAGGATTAGTAATATATAAAAATACACTATTCCTAATATAAAGAAAATACTTCCACTCCGTTTCTACTTGAAGAATAAATGAGTTGAAAATTACACACCAACAAAATGTGAAAAGTACGTTGCGTAATACCCAAGGGAATACTTTTAACCAGATTGAGGACCGAGTGAAGAACTTCAAGATGTGCTTGATTTTCATTATTTTTTGTGCGCAAGAACAATAACTACTCTTTCTTTTTTGGCCTCTATTATCTCCCGTACGCTAAATAAGCGCTGAGAAATTTTTATTGAAAGTGTATTATCGGTGGTATACCAAAAACACGTTTTAAAACAAAAAGATGTACGAACGTGTAAAACTTTTCATTGTGGTAGTGGTGTAACCACTAGTTGTTTACCATGACATGGCCTATCTTTCTATCATGCTCCACTAAAGAAATATTGTATTGCTATGATCCTCAATGTATGTGTGAGTGAACATCGAAAGTTTATATAAAGTCAGTGGGACCCATTATACGTAGAACAACTTTCAACATTACGACACCTGCTTAGAATAAGTAATGGTTGACATATACCGTATGAGCGACTCACCAAACGCTGTTCCTAGAACAGCTAGAAGAATGATGCACTTCATCTTGAGTGCCTGGCCAATGTTGTCACCTGGAACTGATCGACACCCTCGAATTGACTTCTTTTATATGCCTGGTAACTGCGTCATAGGTCGAAATGCATAAGATAGATACATGACGTGCCTGTTCAAACTCCCAAGAGAAATATGCCATCCGTGCGATAAGCGTGTCCGTCGTTACACTCAGTGACAAAGGTGAGCTATACAAAAGACACTTCACTCATATCAGCTGCGGAACCGACGTAATACAATATTGGCAGCGTCGGTTGTTTCTAGGACAGAATGCATACGGTTCAAATCCTACAAAGTGAAAATACGCAGGCAATATAACAGAAACATTGTGTTTACTTGCTCTAAAACCATTTTTATTATATACATATATATACAGAGAGTGAGAGAGAGAGAAGAGACACAACTTAGCGGTTGGTTGTCGTTACTAAGACAACCGGTAAGTTGTGTCGCTTCTATATATATATATATTATATATATATATATATATATATATATATATATATATATATATATATATATATATATATATATTATGACGACTCGGTTGTAGCGAGGTTTATTGGGCGTGAACTCGGGAACGAACAAGCGCAACGGACCCGACCAAGAAACGCTCGTGCCAAGCAGATGATGATTGTCAGCCAGAACATATGATGATGATTGACTGCTGTTCAGATGAGGATGAAGCGCATAATAGATGCCTACACTGATTCCCCCCCCCGTGGAAGCGGCCAGCCTGGCCGCTGCGAGCGGGTAGTCAAAGTGACGAGGAACGTCGTGTGAAAAGCTTCATGCGGGAAACGTGTACAATTTCGGTGCTGCGGTAACGGTGGTCAGTTGGCACGACAAGAGGCGTCACACGATAGTTGACAGGTGAAGTCTGCTCTAAAACAACATATGGGCCAATGAATCGAGGCTGGAACTTGTCGCAGAGACCAGGTGTGCGAATTGGTGTCAATAGCAGCACCTCGTCACCCGGTCGGAATGATACCACACGATGAGAGGTGTCGTAGACGGCCTTCCTTGCTTGTTGCGTAGCTTCCGTGTTCATACGAGCGCGCTGGCGGCACTGGGCAAGGCGAGAAATATATTCTTCGCAAGAAGATGGTGATGTAGGGCCATTGCTGGTGAAGAAGGAAACATCGATAAAGAAAGTAGGTGAACGTCCGTAAACGAGATAAAACGGTGAGTAGCCTGTTGTGCGCTGAACAGCGGTGTTGTAGGCGAAAGTGAGGAACGGTAAAAGTTTATCCCAGTTTCTGTGATCTGGTTGAATGTATACGGCGATCATGTCGGCAAGGGTTCGATGAAATCTTTCGGTCAGACCATTTGTTTGAGGATGGTAGCTAGACGCCATCTTGTGTGTGGTACCAGAAACGCGAAGAACTTCACCTAAAAGCTGTGATAAGAACACCTTTCCACGGTCACTCAGAAGTACACGAGGTGCACCATGACGTAGTATTATGGCCTGAAGGACGAAGTCAGCAACTTCCGATGCTGAACCAGTAGCTACTGAAGTTGTCTCGGCGTAGCGTGTCATATGGTCTACGGCGGTGACTATCCATCTATTTCCAACACCAATAACAGGAAGGGGTCCGTAAAGATCGACACCGACGACCTCGAAAGGTGTTGTAGGGCACGTGATTGGCTGTAACTGACCAGCTGGGGGAGATGTCGGAAGTTTGCGAAGTTGGCATGGAGAGCAGGAACCCACGTACTTTGCTACGCTGGTAGAAATCCCAGGCCAATAAAAGCGGCTTCGAATGCGGTCGTAGGTTTTGTGAAAGCCTAGTTGGCCAGCAGTCAAATCGTCATGAAAGGCGTTAAGTACATGATGTTGAAGAGCACGTGGCAGAACAGGTACCCAGCGTGTGCCGTCAGGATGATATATGTGACGATACAGCACACCGTCCTGAAACTTGAAGTGCTCGAGTTGTCGACGAAGGCGTGCATTGGGTGGACGCGTAGCTCCTGAAAGGTGGTCTATAATGCGCCGACAATACGGGTCAGCCTGCTGGTGAGAACTGAAGGGTTGTTCATCGTCGATTGGCGGTTGGTACAGCGAGGCGAACAAGGCAACAGAAGTGGGAGTCACGTCCGCACTGGTGTCGTTGGAGGTGGCAGCTGGAGTGTCGAATGACGCCGTAGGTAGTGGGCAACGAGAAAGAGCGTCGGCGTCTTGATGTTTTTTGCCCTATTTATAAATAATCTCAAACTGATACTCCTGTAGGCGTAAAATTCAACGACCCAAGCGTCCGGAGAAGTTCTTCATTGTAGAAAGCCAGCATAAGGCGTGGTGGTCCGTTACGATGGTGAATTGACGGCCGTACAGATAAGGACGGAACTTTTGTATGGACCAAACCACAGCGAGGCACTCCTGCTCAGTGATGGTATAGTTTTAGATGCGGAGCATCTTATACTCGCGCCTTGTAGTGCGCCGTCCGCGCCGTCCGCACCGCTTCTCGAACATTCGACAGCTGACGCGCGCGCATGCGCCGTCGCGCCGTCGCCCACTCTTCCACCATCTGTGCATCCCTTCCTCCTCTACACACCGCGCGCGCTTCACTCCTCCACCATATGTGCACCCTTCCTCCTCTACACACCGCGTTCGACATCTACAATTCTCCTGATTCTCCAGTGGACGCGCATGTGGCGTCGCGCTTCGAGAACATTCAACAGCTGACAGTGCATGCGCCGTCGTGCTGTATATATACTCAAGGTCGGCGCTCGCTCGCTCAGTTGCCGCTCGTCGGTTGGTTTGTACGGCGCGTCGACGTCCAAGGTCGCGGTGAAATGAATTCCAACGAATCCACAAACACAATGATCGACGTCCCTTCGACCAGCACCGCCCTTTCGCATACGTGTGTACGTGTTCACTCATTTAACACCCCCTCCTACAACCACGTTAACCAATTTAGCCATCGACCCAAGTAAGTCGCAATTTAACACCCCATTTCACAACCACGTTAACCAATTTAGCCATCGACCCAAGTAAGTCGCACTTTAACACCCCGTTAACCAATTATATGGTCCGCATCCTCCTCAGTGTTCCCCCGAGGGAAGCTGCGGGCAATTTTTTTCGGTAGAAGTTAGCACTCGGCTAGCATATGCGATGACCCTTTCCCGTCGAGAGTTATCGCGTTGGAGGAGAACAGCACCTATACCGCAGCCACTGGCGTCAGTATGCAGGAGTGTTGGGGCGGTGTCATCAAAATGGCAGAGTACAGGTTCTGACGTCAAAGCTTTCTTCAATAGGTGAAACGCCGACTGACATTCCTCGGACCACACAAAGGGTGCATTAGATGCAAGTAGTTTGTGAAGTGGCGCAGCTATTGAAGCGAAATTTTGTATGAAGCGACGAAAATAGGATGCGAGGCCAAGAAAACTTCGCAAATCCTTAAGTCTTGTGGGGCATGGAAATCGAAGGACGGCAGCGATCTTTTCGGGGTCAGGGCGAATACCGTCCTTGCTGACGACATGACCGAGAACCTTGATGGATTTGGTGGCGAAACGGCACTTCTTAGTGTTGAGCTGCAGACCCGCACCGGCGAGGCATGTTAGGACGTCATCCAAGCGGCTCAGGTGCTGAGAAAACGTTGATGAAAAGATGATAATGTCATCAAGGTAGCAGAGACACGTCTTCCATTTCAGACCACACAGGACGGTGTCGATCATGCGTTCAAACGTCGCGGGCGCATTGCAGAGCCCGAAAGGCATCACGTTAAATTCGTATAGGCCATCGGAGGTTGCAAATGCCGTTTTTTCTTTGTCGTCATCGTGCATGGGAATTTGCCAATATCCCGAACGCAAATCAAGGCTTGAAAAGTTTTCGGCGCCTTGCAGTGAATCAAGGGCGTCATCGATGCGTGGCATGGGGTATACGTCCTTGCGTGTGATGTTGTTAAGTGCCCGGTAATCAACGCAAAAGCGCACGGAGCCATCTTTTTTCCGTACCAAAACAACAGGGGATGACCAAGGGCTAGTTGATGGACGAATTATTTCTCGTTGGAGCATGTCAGCGACGTTTTCCTCGATGATTTTTCGCTCAGCGAGAGACATGCGGTACGGGCGGCGATGTACAATAGATGTTCCCTCCGTCTGAATGCGATGCGCTGCAGTGGTAGTTCGGCCCAACGTTGAAGAGCAGGTGTCGAAAGAATCGGCGTGTTTCGTTAACAACGCAAGCAACTGCTGCGCCTGCATAGCTGTTAAGTCATCACTGATAAGAGCTGTTAAGGGAGAGGATGAGACAGGCTTACTCATAGAACGGTCGTTGGTAGAGGCAGGGTTAAGTGGCGTGACGCTGACAGGCTCAGCATCCACAACACAGGCTACTGCAGTGCCCTCTGGCAGGAGAACTTTCTCTGGCGTTTCATTCGTAGCAATGACGAGCGCGGAGCCATGGTGAAAGCGTACGACACCTGATGCAAGGGCAATGCCTTTTGCGACGCAAGTCGACGAAGGGGACACCAAGACGTCGCCGTGGTCGATGTCCTTAAAGATCAGGGTCACAATTCGCTCTTGGTGTGGCGGTAGTTCGAGATCTTCACAAGCGAACAGGCGTAGAGGCTTGTAGACGCCTTCGTCGAACATGGAGTCCGTATTAGTTAGGTGCAGAATCCGTTCACCACAACATATAGCGGCTGAAGAAGAAGATAGGAAGTCCCACCCTAGAATTAGCTGGTGAGAGCACCGGGTAAGCACAGTGAACTCGATGTAATGCAAAATGTCATCAATAAACACACGAGCAGTACAAAGAGCAAAAGGGCGGATAGCGTTCCCCTGGGCTTCGACTAGATTGGGTCCATTATAAGGTGTCATTACTTTCTTCAGGCGTTTGCACAAATCATACCTAATCACAGAAACTGTAGCACCGGTGTCCACCAAAGCGTCCGCGAGAACTCCTTCCACCGTAACAGAAACCATGTTAAACGGGCGTGCTGGAGGAATATGAGTCCTACTGTTACATGCAGTTTCTCCTCCGAAAACTGCATCATTTAGTTTTCCGACCGGTTATCAGTAGTAAACGAGGCTGGCCGAAGAGGAGAGGAGGAGCGACGTA